ATACATTAACTTGGTATGATCATGAGAACACCCAAGGTGTCAAAGAGATAACTTGAAGAAAACAACATAATTTCAAAGATCAGGGAAAATGACCCATGACTGATCTTTGTACAACTTGTTTAAAAAATGTAAAGTATTTCCTCCTTTATTTTAAATGTCCAAAGAGTACTTAGTATGGCCAACTGACAGAAAATTAAATGGAATTTAATTCAATTTTCATATATGTAAGCTATTTAATAACTTAGAAAAAAATATTTTTATCTCACAATACTATAAGAATATTTAATTTCTGGGTTTTGTTAACTTCATTGGGGTTTGTGATTTATTAAAGTTTTAGGAAAATGATGCTTTGCAAGTGCAATGGGTCATAATGTTTTGATGTTGCTCTACACTGTTCTGCTTTATTTAGAAGAAAATATAAAATATGATGATGACAAGGAAGAGCAAGGCTGACTCTCAAAGTCTCAGGGATGTGGCGAGTGTCTCGTTGTCAAATCACTCTCTAAGCTGTAAGCTCCTTGAGGGCATGGGTTGAACCTATCCTTGTCTTCACATCTCCAGCACTAGTACAGGCCTGGCATGTGGTAATTAAGGAAGACCAGGCCACTTGTAATGAGTGTATGTCAGAGTCGGTAGTGGAGCCCACTCCCAATTCCCACTGGATATTGAATAAAAAAGAGCTGTAGTCCCTGACATTACATTTTCTTTGACCTGGGAGTCACAAGTCAAGTTAATGAGTCAAGTTATACGTCCCAAGGAAAGAAATAATCTAGAAAAATTTAGATAAATATTAAGACAAATGTCACATAAGTAGTTATCATCTGATTTCTTTGGAATTGTAATCCTGACCACATACCATCATCCTGGCATATTTTGTTTTATAAAGATGTAGCTATGCAAGTGTGAGTATGCTGTGTTTACAATGTGATCTGACTGCGTTCAATAGCAGACTTCTTGTCAACCAGGCCTGTCCTAATCTATTTGTGGAAGTCAATGACTCAGAGGTTCTAAGCAGACTCCTCCTCTGCCACATTGTATGACCTCGGGGAGGTTCCTTAGCCTATTTTTGGCTCGATTTTCTCATATATGGATTGGAGATAATTACTTTGCAATGTTTTCTAGAAAATGACCTTAAAAGACTCTCAGCTGAAACTGTTTCTAATTTAAATGCTGCAATTACCAGTGCTATAGAATCAATGACAGAATCAGAATTGATGAATATATAACGTTATATACTATTTTCTACAAATGTTTCTTCTACATTTTGCTTAATGTTTATACAAAATGTAGCATACAAACAGACTTCAATTTTTATTTTTACTGTTGCTGTTTTAGTCCATTTGTGTTGCTATAACAGAATACTTGAAACTGGGTAATTTATAAAGAAGAGAGGTTTATTTGGCTTACGATTTTGGGACAGCTACACCTGGCATGGGCCTCAGGCTACTTTTACTCATGGCGGAAAGTGGCAGGCAGCCGGCAGGGCAGCCGGCAGGGACAAGCAGATCACATGGCGAGAGGAAGCAAGAGAGAGAGGAAGCAAGAGAGAGAGAGAAGGTGCCAGGGTCTTTTTAAGCAACGAGCTCTCACAGGAACTAATAGAGCGAGAACTCACTCACTACCCCTCCTAACCCAGGGAGAGCATTAATCCATTCATGAGGGATCCGCCCCCCATGACTCAATCAGTTTCCAACACTGCCACATTGGACATCAAATTTCCACATGAGTTTTGGAGGGGACAACACGTCCAAACTCCATCAGTTGCTAAAGAAGATATGCTGGAGTTAAGCATTTCCAATTTATCATAATAAGGTAGAAAGGATTTAAGGTAGAATAGATATGGATTCTAATACCTAACAACTCTGATTACTAGCTCTGTGACCTCAGCCCAGTCTCCTAACCTCTCTGAGGCTCAGATTCCTTCATCTCTACAATAAAAATAACATATTTTACTTCCTAGAGTTGGTGTAAGGGTTTAAAAAAAAAAGATTATGTAGGAGGGGGGAAGATTATATCATATGCCTGGTCCTCAAAAAAGTTAGTTATATGACTGCTTCCTAAAAAAATGCTGCTAACAGGCCAGAAGTCCTAGGTTTAAACCAAAAATTGACTATTTATAGAAAGATATTTAAACAATGCATATTACTAAGACATTGATGTGTAGTTTAATAAAACTGAAAAATGTTCTTATAGAAAAACATAAAATATTAGCCAATTTAAATCAACGTATTTCTCCTAGTTGTAATAATAAAAATTCAAAATATAATTCTAGAGCCGATTATGGAAAATTTTCTAAGTTGCAATGAAGGCCTCTGGTCTTTTTAATTAGCAATGGAGTGAGGGCAGTAGGAACAAGTCTCTTTAGTGCACTGCTCTGTATCTAGCAGTCAGCACAGTGCCTGGCCATGGTAGGTACTCAAAAAATATTTGTAGAACAAATGCACAGACAGTGAATGGATTTTTGAATAAGAGCAATTTGGTTTGAATCACCGCTATATATTTGAATAATAATATTTACCTCTAAAGATTGTTAAGATGATTGAAATAGGTATGAAAAGTCCCTGAGACATGTATTAAGATATGTTTTCCTTAGTGCTATTCACACTTCTGCTAATTTCATAATATTATATGTTAACACGAAGTGAAAACAAATAGTATTCCAAATGACCAGATTAATAAACTGCCACATGTATTCTACCTACATAGAGAGAGACCGTACATACAGTGAAATCCAACTCAATAAATCTTTGGCTGTTATACCATCAGAGCAGCCAAACTGTTCAGAAAAGGTGACTCCTGCTTCAAGGCTTTTTAAAGAAGGCTGCATTACTTGTTCGGTTTTTCTGCACATGGCTTTTGGTTGCCTTTTTAGCTAGTGACCCTGGATTTTAACTAATGAACTCCAGCTGTTCTTATTTTGCCTTCCATCCCTTCTCATTTAACCTCCTGTCTCCCTGGTCTCACATCCTTAAAGTTCTTACAGGAAAAATGGGACAGTGCCAAAGTTTTCAAATTAGGCTTCAAATCTTCTTGAGAGGAGAGGACTCCTTTAACAAGGGCGCCAAGCTTTTACACCAGTGCAAAAAGAAACATTCATTGTTGGAAACTGGATGCATAACAACCTCCAATGTGTCAAAAATCCTTTTGTGTTTTTTAATATTATACAAGCAAAGCATTCAGTAAGGTAAGTCCACAAAACAAACCAAGGAAGTCCACAGTTGAATATGAAATGTAACTGAAAACAACTGTGATGAAGAGGCAATTCCTCAGCAAATATGCAATGAAAGAAACATTTAGCATACATAACAACACAGATCCAACTTTCCTGAACCATGCTGAGAACCATCTGTTAGCAAAACTGGCAAAAGCTTTCACTGTTACAGTCAAACGTCAACCTGAAAAACTTGGCTGTGGGCAAAATCTGAGCAAAGCCAGCCTTAAGCAATAGGCAAACTCAAGCTCACAAAGACAACACCAGGAAAACGAGGTGAACCTGGGCCTAGAGACCCTCCCCTTCTATGGGTGACCTGGGGATTTCTGTTATGTTCAAAAATATTTTTCAGCCTATCTATAGATCTCTTTCCAAATGTGATCATCCTTTCATGGGGACCTCTAGTAAATACATTAGTAAATGCAGCTTCCATTATATTAAACACTTAAAACCATGCTTTCTCCCAGAATGCACCTGATCATACCAGGACAAGGCCTCAGTTAAACTGATGGCCATTTGGCCCTTCTACTTCAATTTAAAATTATGTCTTTCCCAGGGGCACTAAAAGACTTTTCAAAATGGCATCAAATTCAGTTATAGACTCATTTTCTGAATTGCTTCTTCCATGCCTGTTTGCATAACTCATCCTTCCGAGCTCAGTTCAAAATCTAACTCCATTAGCCACACTGAGACTAACTCGTTCTCATCTTAGTTTACAATGTCTTTTATACACTTGTAACTTGAACCATCTGCTCTGTTAAAACTGAAAATAACAGAGAACAGAGTATGGGGCTTTCTGTTCTTATCCTTCAAAACACCCATCAATATGCTTGCGTATAGTATGTGCTCAGTAAAGAATGGAAGATCAGTGATTAGAAGAAGAAGAAAGTGAGGCCAGGGAACTGCCATTTTTCTGTTTTGTTTGTTTGTTGCTAAAATGGATAGCAATCCTACCATCATTTTATTTCAAATGACTCATGTAAAAAAGGTTGCTAAATTGCATTTTTCATGATTTATTTTCACTATGTTGGCTTCTTGATTTTTATATTATAAATTATTAGTTATCTTGATGATGGACAAGACAGAAGCAAGGGAATAGAATAATAATAGCCAACATTTGTTGAACTCTGAAAATGGACTCTGATAAGTGTTTTGTGTGTATATTCCTCATTTAATCCTCATGACAACTTCATGAAATAAGTACTATTATTATCCTCCCTCTGCAATAAATGGAGTCTTAGATAGGAAATCTACCCAACATTATATCACTAGTAGTTGTTAGACCTCCAATGCAAACCCAAGCCCATCTGATATCAGGTTCCTCACCACTAGCTATACTGCTCAGGGTACAAAGTAAATACAGGCACAACACTGAAAATACATGCTTTCCAGAAGTGCTTTTAAGTGCTATCTAAACAATATATTATGTTCAGGCAAATTGCCACTAAGAACTTGCATGATTAATTTTTTTTTCTCTTTTACAGGAATTTTCTGGGTATAGCCTTAGCACTCTGCATGAAACCAAACACATGGAAAGTATTAGTAGATGCTTAGTGAGTTCATATTTTTGGTCAAGTGATATAACAGTTTTGAATCTTAATTTCATCAAGAATAAATAATAAAATAATAGTGTAATACTCTTGAAAAACTACTATGAGGAATAAAACTGCAATTATAATATTACTTCTAGAAATATCAAAAACTAGAGCTGAATGAACAAACACAACACATTTTTTACCAAATCAAGGACTCAAAACAGATCTCTTGGGTTAATTTTTACTGTTCTTACCTTCCCGGATAGCTGTAAATGGGACTCCTTCCTCTGCATTCATGCTGATGACTTTTAAAGCCACTAATTGTCCATTTATCCTAAAAGAGTGGGGAGACGAGAAGGGCACACACTTATTGAGATGGTTCAAAACAGCAATTTATACTAAGGATGGCTCAACAAAAGTAGTTTTCCTTCAACATATATTCCAGCATATAAATCTATAATTCTCTCAAAAAAGTTTAATATATATAAAATATATATATCCAAAACATTTTTTCTTTATTAAAGTGAAACATGTTCACCACAGAAAATTTGGAGAACACAGAAAAGCACAAAGAAAACACCCTACCGATTCATCCCGATAATAGTTTGATGAGTATTCTTCCTTTTATTTCCCTCCGTGCACTTATTTGGGCCACTCTCATTTTTTCACCTGATTTATTGTAGTGGTCTCTGAACAGTCTCCCTGCTTGTACACTTGTGCTCCTACTGTCTGCTCTCAACAGAGTAGCCGAGAGCATCCTTTTTAAATGAAAGTCAAGATAAGTTACTTCTCTGTTCAAAACTTACTATATATCTCCACAGTTAACTCAGAGTAAAAGTAAAATTTTACAATGGCCTCTTAAGTGCTATCTGATCAGCCCAGGCCACACCATCCTCTTTCTCTTCACATCTCCTCCGACTCTCTATTCATCCTTTTGTTCATGATATAAGCTAAGTGCGAAGAACGGAAGATTTTAATGCAGGTGTCAATATACTGCCTTTAAATACAGTAATTCATATCATATTGTTAGTAACCTGTTTTTCCTCTATCTAACATTTTCTCTTATCATTCATTCTTGTACAATGTGATATTTAATAATGACATAGTATTTCATCATTTAAATATACTACAATGTGTTCAGCCAATTCCAAGTTCTTTTAAATTGTTTCTAGCTTTTGGCTGTTATAAAAATACTGTGATGATTATAGTTGTAGCTAAATCTTTTCACACAGCCCCAATTATTTCCTTAGGATAAAGGTAGAATAGCTAAATCAAACAATATGCAGTGCACACATTTTTATTGATTTGAACTCATGTTCCCAAATTGTCCCACAGAGTGATTGTACCACTAATGGTCGTGAGGGTGGCCATTCTACCACTTCACCAACAGTGCAGCAGGGTTTTGTTTTTGTTTTTGTTTTTTTAGACTTCATTTTTTAGAACAGTTTTAGATTTACAGAAAAATTGAGACGATAATACAGAAAGTTCCCATATACCTCACATCCAGTTTCTTCTGTTGTTAACATCTTACATTGTAAGGCACATTTGTTATAATTAAAGAACCAATATTGATATGTTATTATTAATTACCTGATGTCCTTTCTATTGTCCAGGATCTCATCCAGGATTACATTTGGTTGTCATGTCTCCTTATGCTCCCCTTAGCTGTGACAGGTTCCTAGACTTTCCTTGTTTTTGGTGACCCTGACAGTTTTGAGGAGTACCGGTCAAGTATTTTGTAAGATGCTCCTCTCTTGGAATTTTTCTGATATTTTTCTTATGGTTAGCCTGGGGTTATGGATTTGAGGAGGTAAAGTGCTATCTTCATCACATCATATTAAAAGTATATGCCATCTTTTTTTTTTTCCTTTTTGTCTTTTTTCGTGTCCGGCAACGGATTGCAACCCTCAGTGTCGCGCCCGTACCGGACCAGGACCGGCAACGGGATCGCAACCCTCGGTGTTGCGTCCGCACCTCGCTCAGCCAGCGAGCGGGAACCGGTCTGTATGTGGGATCCGAACCCTCGGCGGGAGGGCCGCCGCGCTCCCAAGCGGCGCACTGTAGCAGTGCGCCACCGGGCCGGCCCAAGTATATGCCATCTTAAATACAACTTTTGATGTTGTCCTTAATCCCCTGTCTGAGGTAGCATTTGTCAGGTTTCTCCACTGTAAAGTTACTTTCCCCTTTCCTTTCCATACTGTACTTTTGGACAAATGTCACTATGAATAGCCCACACTTAAGAAGTAGGAAGCTGTGGTACACTTCCTTGAGGGTAGATTATCTGCATAAATTATTTTGAATTCTTCTGCATGGCAGATTTGCTTCTCTCCTGTTTATTAATTTCTTGAGCCATTTATTCATATCAGTGTGGACTCACAGGTATTTATTTTATTCTCTGGGTTATAATTCAATACCCCTTTATTTTGTTTCTCAACTTTTTGTGTTTGTTCCTTAGAAGCTCTTTCAGTTGACTCCCATGTCTCTTTGACATACCCCTATCAATGTGGCTTTGTTTTTGCTTTTATCTTTATTTTTTGGCCTATTTGATAGGTAAAAAATTTATAGGTAAAATTAGATAGGTAAAATTTTAATTTCTATTTCTTTACTTGTAGAACTGAATTTCATAAATTTATTGGTCTTTTTCATGATTTTTCTTGTGATTTGCCTATTTGCCCACATTTTTATTGAAATATTTTGCATAATATTTAAAAATAATATAAATAATATATAAAAATATTTTTATAATTACTTTTGTTTGCCTTATCATGTCTTTGAAATTTTGAATTTAAAATTCTATATGATGTTCAGTATTTTCCAAAGTATTTTACTCAGAGCATGACTCCGTGAAATTCTACCCCATCCTCCATACACAAAAAAAGGTTTTAGTCAAATATGTTTAGAAAATGCTTTATACTTTCTTAATCTTCTTAATCTCCTTTAGACAGTCTAGTGAACACTGACATTTAAGAAATGCTAAGAACATCATAATAAGGAATCACATTTGATTTTGTTCTAGGGTTCTCCATATCAATTTGATCACGGTAACTATTTCAATGAAACATCTGTTAAGGTGTCTCAGAACTGGGGCTCCCTGGAACATATTTGGATAGATGGGGCACCATGGAGAATTCCTGCCTTCCCTAACAGGTTCTGACTTGAGTGTTATGCATAGACAGATCTTTCCAGCCAAAAGGTTAAACAGAATTCACTTATCTTGGCTGGCTGGTTAGCTCAGTAGATGGTGGAGTTATAACACCAAAGTCAAGGGTTCAGATCCCTTCACCAGCCAGCTGCCCCTCTCCCCCCAAAAATAATCTCCTTATCTTTTCTTCTAGTTCTTATATGTTTTCTTTTTCATTAATCTATTTAATCCATTGGGAATTCATATTGTATGTTCACTTTCTCCAAATGGCTAACAATTGTCCCACTCCATTTATTGGACCATCTCCTTTTCCCTGCCAATTTGAAATGCCACCATGATTATTCATTAGATCTTATTAACACTTGGATTTGTGACTGTTCTGGACTTCCTAAAATCTCATTTCTTTGATATGTCTTTTCTTATATTTGTACTACATGGTTTTAATTATTGTAGCTTTCAAATATATTTATAATACATCAAAACTCTAAATTAGAGAATCACTGACATTTTTGCTAATTCAAATATCCTATACTTACAGATTCCTTGGGATGGTCATTTACAGGACCCTACACAGTTCCTCCCATGCGCGCACACACACAGCTGTTCCCTGCACTCATCTCCTTCCACTTTCCCCTTCCAATGCCAGGCGGCTCCTGCCTCAGGGATTCATGCTGTTCATGCTGTTTCCTTTGTCTGGAGCTGCCTTCTGCCGCACGTGCACACAGCTCACTCCTTACCTCCATCAGATTCTCTCTTCAAGTGTGATCTTCTCAGTGAGGCCTCCCCTCATCGCCCTATTTAAAATTGTAATCCACCCCCCCCCCCAGCTCTCCGTATCCCTCATCCCTGTTTTATTCTTTTCTATAGCACTTTTTGCCCTTTAACAAACTCAGTATTTACTAATTTGTTTATTGCCTATCTCACTCCCACTAGGATGTATACTCTATAAGAGCAGGAATATTTGTCTCTTTTGTTTTCTGATGTATTCTCGCCCCTTAGTAAAACTTTATATAAATCCTTACTCTTCTTTAATGCTAACGGTTATATTTTTGTTGCTATTGTGAGAGTAATTTCCCCTACTATATTTTCTAAATAATTATTGCTAATACATAATACAACTTGTGATAAGTATGTATTGATTTTGTAACTGATCACCTTATTTTTCTATCTTACTACTTCTAATAGTTTATTAGATGATTCTCTTGGGCTTTTAGGTAGACAATCCTACAATCCACAAAAATGATATTCAGGTTTTTGTTTTTCTCATTGCATTGGCTAGAACTTCTATAATTTTTCACAATAATGATAATGATAATGGACATTCTTGTCCTATTTCTAACTTAACTGTATGTCTTTAGTATTTAACAAAAAAGTTTGTGTGCTGTTGATTCAAAATATTATACATTATAATGAGGAATTATCATTCCATTCCTATTTTTCTTAGAGTTTTAAAAACTAGCAATCGATGTTGAATTTATCAAATGCCTTTTTGGCATCTATCTTTATGGTATTTTAAAACTTGTTTTTACACTATGAATGTAATGACTTTGTGGAAGGTAATAAAGTGAAAAGTTTAAGTGATTCTCCCTTCCCCACCCCAGTTTCAACCATTAGAAGAAACTAATCTCTTGTGTGTTTCCCCAGGCTCTTTACATACATACAAATTTATAGGTGTACAGTACATCTGAGTGCTTTTTTCTAAATAGGATCATAGGTAAATATTGTTCTGTGACTTGCTTTTTTTTTCTTAAAATACTGGACGTCTTTTCATAATAGTATATCTACTTCATACTTTAGATGGCTGTGTACTATTTCCTGGTATGGTGATTATTTGCCCAATCCTCCATTAATGGATATTTGTGACCAGCTTTTCTTTTTTTTCCTGTTATATCTTGCTGCAAGGAATATACTTCTACTTATATCTCTGTGCACTTAGACAAGTAATTCTAATGCACTTTTCATCCTATTACTAGGCTGAGTTCCTTGAAGGAAATCTTTTATATTCTCAGTTCCTATGATTGTCTATGGAAATAAACTAAATCCTGCTTCTGTACAATATACTGTATTTAAAATTGTATTTCCCCTACAACACTGTTTTAACAAATAAAAATAACAAATACTAAGATAAATAACTATTGAGTCTTGTAGTATTAATATTACATTTAAAAAATTAACATTTAACCACTATCAAGCCATTAGTTTTCTCCCTTGGAATAGCATAAATTAAAGAAATAAGATCTACTACCTTTCCCAACTTAACTAAAAGGCAGTGCAATTCATGGATATTTCATATATATTTAATAAAGTTGTCGTTTACTAAAATGGGTACTTGGCTTTTGGATAAGCAGTATTTTTATTCTCCAGCCATTTTGTATATTTTGCAAGAGTAGAAAACTCAGGATTTATCATTTTTCGCATATACCATACTTTGCAGAAACCAGCTTTGGTTTCTTCTATGAAGGCAAGGTAGAAGAATGAAACAATGAACTCAAGAGGCTGCCACTGCAAACCTCCATCACTGTGATTTAGGGAGGGATGTGAGAAGCCCTTCAGAGATACCTCACTACCTGTGCTTCCCACCAGGCTGAAGAGCAGTAGTCAATAGTAGGGAAAACCTACTTTCTTTGATTTGAGTAAAAGAGAGGAAAGGCTGAGAAACATTTTAGTGGCTGATTTTAAATGGGGCAGGGCAGGATTGTTTTTCTTTCAAGGTTATTTAAATCATCACCTCTCTCTCCCTATTGGCCATAGTGTTTTGCACAGGTTCCAAATGCTGTGAACTTCTGTGATGTCTCTCCTGGCTTCATAATGTAAAATGAAGGGGTGGGATCCTTATCTTTAAAGTCTATCCCAGCTATGAGTCACTCACCTGCTAATGCCCTTGTAAACTGTAGCATAGGAGCCTTCACCCAGCTTCTCCAAGTTCAAGTAAGACGAGGCTGCTCCAAAAGGGAGGCTCTTCCTCTGCTTAAGGGGAATGGGGAGGGGTGGAGGTAGGGAAGAAAGAAAGCACTTTTTTTAGCCTTGACTTTTTTTCCCCTGGGGAAATCAGACAGCATTGCCTGAGTGTATTTGGGAAGGCCTGCTCAGTAATTGTCTTGAAAGTAAGGGCCAGCCTCCCTAGACAAGCACACATTAAATTCTTCCTGATCAACATCAGCTGCTCACTCACCCACTGAAAATCTGGTCTCAGATCCTCTTCCTGAAAAGAATCACTGTTACTCCGTGGCCTTTTACTCTTGAACTTCCGGGCATGGACAGCCTGAAGTCCCCTGGGGTGAAATGAAGTCATAGAACATGATGCTTCTTTTAGGTCTGTTAGCTAGAGAAAAAAGAAAGAGCAAGAACAAAATTTATGCAAGGTCAAGATTCGGTGGCTGGCAAAGCCATTTTTTCTTTATTTGCCTGATTTTCACTCTTCCAATGTTTTCTAAGCTCCCTATACTCTCAAAAGGCACCTTTCTTGAAAGTCAGATCCCCACCCCCCCAAAAAGAAAAAGACCATACCCGTATCAACTACTGAAATATTACAATCCTTCTTCACCTAAAAATATGTCTTTAACACTTAGATTAACCTAAATCTCTTTGATGAATGTTTTCCAATTTTTCTCTGTTCAGTTCAGGCTTTTTTCATGTCCACTTAATTTACTGCTTCAGGGGAATAATCTCCTAGTATGGCATTGCTAATAATAATGGGCTAATTATCAAAATTTTGAATCCACAGCATACCAACCAATACTGCAGCTTGTCTTTTGAGGTTCAGCTCTGTAACTTAGTACCTCAGAGATTCTAAGAGCTACTTTCTCAACCTCAACTCTAGTGAGTTTCATGCAGCCTAAAGCCAAGAAATATTTTTCCCTTTTGGTTTACAAGAAAATCCCCAAATTTGATAACTACAGCCATAAGTTCTCTGTGACTTTAATAGAATTTTTATTTTATCAGTTTAGACCCACTGCAGAAGAATCAGACCCCGCTACAGAAAGGGAGTGTCCGCACTCCTTGGTTTGTGAATATAGAAAGATGCTCCTTCTGGGATACAAATACCTCAAACGGAGGCTCCGTTGTCACAGGCTGACTCCTCCGACAGCCATGTGCCTCGCCTCCTTCCGAACAGCGGTAGCAGCTGCATCCAGGCTGTAGAGTCTTTGCACACAGCTCTTGACCCATAATCTTCTAGGTTCAAGGAGGAAACCCGCACTTGAACCTCTCCCCCTCTGCATCTCCTGTCTTCGCTCACTCCTTTTTGCCAGAGGTCAGCATTATAAAGCTTTCATATGACTCACATGAGGGCTCTGCCTGGAGCAGCCTCATGACTTCAGCAGTTTTCCTTATCGGTACAAGAAACTCTGCATCAGAAAGGCAGTTGCTGGCGTTCGTATGTGCATAACTGAAAACAAGGCGGCTAATATGGGATAGAGTATACTTTGGCTCAGTTAAGGTTTTTGTTCCAGCTACAAGTTAGTGCTGTTGGTATACACAGTTTTTATGAATATACATTGTTTATCCATGTAATGATGTTTACATGATGTTATTGATAATGATATTGATATTTGTTAGGCTTCCCTGGTGCTAAAGTGGACACATTGAGGAGTGTTTGCTCCCTGCCTTTCATCTGAAAACATTTTGGTTTTCAGACTTTAAAACAAATTTGCAACCTAGTCAGCTTTTAGTAGTCAAAGAAACCACAGAATTATAGAACAGGAAGAAATCTGGAGATATCTACTCTCTTTGCCTTCAAGCAATAGCGTATCTAATAGTCCTAGAAGGGTAGTCATTCATTCATTTATTTAAAAACTATGTAAGTGAGCACCTACATTCTTACTATACAGATAATGATTTAGCCAGTGGGAGGCAGAGGGGAGATTGCATGCAATATCTTCTTCCTTCTCTCCTTCCTTTCTTCTACATAAATGTAATTAATATATGTGAAGTACTACAGTCTCCCCTTATCCTTGGTTTCGCTTTCCACAGTTTCAGTTACCCAAGGTCAATTATGGTCCAAAAATAATAAATGGAAAATTCTAGAAATAAACAATGCATAAGTTTTCAATTGCACACCACTCTGATTAGTGTGATGAAATCTTGCTCTTTCTCACCCTGGACATGAATCATCCCTTCGTTCAGCATATCCACGCTGTGGACACTACCTGTTAGTCACTTAGCAGCTGTCTCAGTTACCAAATTAAAAAAAACAGGATTGGTTACTATCCACAGTTTCAGGTATCTACTGGGGGTCTTGGAATGTATCCCCCAAGGATAAGGGAGGACTACTGCATATTAATAGCATGACATGTCAAGGAATCTGGCTCATACTGGTTTGCGTTCTGTGGCCTTTGAACAGAACTTTTTTCTCTGATGGACCTCAGAGTTTATATATTGGAAACTTAATTCCCAATGCAACAGTACTGAGGGACGGGACCTTTAAGAGGTGATTAAGTCCTCATTGGGGGAGTGGGTTAGTTATCACGAGAGTGGTTTTGTTATAAAAATGAATTTAGCCCCTTCTTGCTCTTGCTGTCACCCTCTCTTGCCCTTCCCACCTTCTGCCATGAGATGATGCAGCATGAAAGCCCTCACTAAAAGCCAGTGCCATGCTCTTGGACTTCTCAGCTTCCAGAACAATGAGCCAAATAAATTTGTGTTAATTATAAATTACCCAGTCTGTAGTGTTCTTTTATAGCATTATAAAATGCACTAAGACAGACTCCTAAGATTATTGCCACTATAATGTACGAATCATAGAATGAGACAGAATGTAGGGTACACACACACACACACACACAGAATTATTATCATTAAGGGAAAAAAATGAGTCATGTCTACTATCACAACAATATTTACAAATATTTAATATCTGAACCTCATATTGGGTTAAAAAAACTTTTAGATAATTTAATTATAAGCATATATTTAAGTTTTATTTCAAAATTGCCACAAGAGAAGAGACCTAAAACAAGCCAATTCAAAGATTCACTCAAATTAAGAACATTTAGTAAAAAAAGAAAGGGGAGGGAAACTAGTTACAGTAATAAAAAAAAAAATTGGCTTAAAAACTATCCAACTTTTGACTGACAACCAACCGAGAGAATGAGAAGTTAGTTTCTCAGAATATTTAATTTCATTAGAATTTCTCATGATACTGATTATAATACATTTTATCAGAAATGTTCATTTCTTCCTAAATGGAGATTATGAATTTCATCATATAAAAGACATGTCCCAGACCAAGTTTAGGGTAATTTTTCTTTACCACTCTCTAATTATCAGAAGTTTTAGAATTTCTAAATGGCCAGTATTTTTATTAGCTTAAGCAACTATGCATGTATATCATGGTATGCTAAGATAGAATAGCCTGATTTTTTTAAAGGTTTAAATTGCTATGTTTAGATATTAGAATGGGCTACCAAGGGGATATTATAAAATATCCTTCAGAATTTTCAAAAGTTAAATAATTTATGGTCTTGTTTAAAGCAAGGAAAAGTATTAGATAACTTCTTAAGATGTTTTCTAACTCTATGTCTGAAAAAATAATTTCTGTTACCAAAGATTTCTGACTAAGGACAAAAGACTTAGATGATTTCATTTTCAACTGTGCATCAGACCCAATTTATACACCACTTCAGATCAACTTGGTTGGACCGACTTCAGCAGCCTGTTCAGCTTCACAGTGGGAGAAGCCATTCCTGCCATCTTGAAGCATGCCCACTGCTGCTGCCTCCCGCCATCACAGAAGGAGCCCTCACACCCGAAGCTCACTGACAAGAAGAGACCCTTGTGCCTGCCCACCAGTTTAAATGGACTAACAGAGGCTTTGGTTTCTCCAGTGACTTCTTGCAAGGATCAGGTGACACAATCCAGAAGTGCAGGAAGTCCCACGGAGCATGCTTCCACCATTATGAAACCAGCGATGTTTGTTGTGAAGCTGAGACCAGCTCAGAAACATGCTCCACTTATTTACACTCCTTGTTTCCCTCACTTCCATTCCCCTGGAATTGCATATACTGCAGGCCCCTCTGCTTTTGCTTCAGGTTCTGTTTCCAGGGAATCTGTGTTAAGACAAATGGTAGCCATTTTTTAATTAGCAGTAAAATTATGGGTTACTAATCATTTCAGTCTAGCTTCTCCACCCACAACATTTTTGGGGTCCTTTTTCTTTTCTCAAGTGGTATGAATTCAAACCACTATGTTTAGTTGTGAGTTTGCACTTTTTTCTAATCTTTGCATTCTGTCTTTATTAAGTTCAGCCAAATTATTAGGAATAATAGTAGATCATCTCCAGCAATCAACGGATAATAATACAAGAAATAATGTGAAATTTGTGTCAGAAACATTAAAAATAGTTCATATAAATTCACACAAGGGAATAATACACAACTGTAAAAAGGAATGTGATCTCTCTATGTAATGACATGGAGTGATCACCCAAATATATTGTTAACTGAAAAAAAGCCAAATGCAGAACAATATTTATAATGTGTTACCTTTTGTGATAAAGAAATGAGGGAAAATAGATTGTACTTAATAGTATTACCATTATTATTTTGGATCTATTATGGGGAGAAAAGATTTACTTTTCTCACCCATCACTAGGTTCATGGCTGAGATTTCTATAATAACAGATTAACAAGAGAAAAGCATACATATTTATTTAATATAAGTTTATGTGACACAGGAGCCTTCAGAAATGAAGACCCAAAGAAACAGGGAAATCTGTATATTTTTGTGCTAGGCTTAGTGAAGTGGATAGCCCTGAAAAAATATGACTGAAGGAAAAGATGGTATAATCTAATGGTAATAATCTGGGGAGAATTTAGCAAGGCCTATTTGTTCAGATTCTTCTTGGTGTCTCCGTGTCTTGGAGGATGACGATGTTCCTTTTCCCTGAGTATAGGGAGGTTACTTCTAGAATTAAGGTCTTATGACCTAGGTTGGCTAGGCTTTATGGCTTACTTCAGGGGAGAAGGGGCAAGAGGAAGGTGAGAGAGACCTTTCTGCTTCTGCTGTTTTCTCAAATGCCAAGGTGCCATGTTTTGGGGTAGCACATCCTGAACCCCATCACTATTATAGGCATATCCTAGGCTAAAATCAATAAGTAATTATTCTAATGTCATTAGAAATAAAACTTTTCGGGCTGGCCTGGTGGCGCACTGCTACAGTGCGCCGCTTGGGAGCGTGGCGGTGCTCCCGCTGAGGGTTCGGATCCCACATACAGACCGGCCGCTCACTGGCTGAGCGAGGTGCGGGTGCAACACTGAGGGTTGCGATCCCGTAGCCGGTCCCGGTCCGGTACGGGCGTGACACTGAGGGTTGCGATCCGTTGCCGGTCACGAAAAAAGACAAAAAGGAAAAAAAAAAAAAGAAAACTTTTCAGCATAAGAGAAAATAGACATAAATATCAAATCAAAGAAATCAAGTAAAAATTAAGCGATCTTAAATTTGATTTGGAAATATAAACTTATGATTGTTTTCCCTTAAAAAAAGCTTTGTCACCCAAAACGACCAAAAAACAATGATAACTTGATAGCAACGAGAAGTCTTAATTCCTAATTTAAATGGTATTTGTCATCTCTAAATATCATTTTCCACTAAGAAGAACTAAACATTCATGGGCAAATGATGGATTCCATGTCTGGGTGTGAACTTTATAAGAGCCTGGGATATCTTTCTTGACAGAAAGCAAAGATGTCATCAAGAAAGATGTCCCAGGCTCATCTTAAGCCAAGGGGAGTCATGTCAGAAGGACATGGGAGCCAACCTGAAAGGGATTCCCATTGGTCTAAATGGGGCAATCTGAGTATCAAAAAGAATAATGGCTGCAAGGGATTGAAACACATGAGAAATGTAAAATCTATAACTTTATAGTTATTCTAAACAAAAATTGTCACTTGGAGGTTTCTAGTGTACAAACTCAATACTCTGAATATTGATAAATAAAGGAGAAAAAGCAAATAGTTTTTTCCTTTTCTATACAAATTTTTTTTTCTAGGGTTACCAAATAGTTAATGAGAAGATAATTCTTCCTTATGGGATAGAAATAGAAAATCGCTATTATGCAATCTCTAATGCAATGATAGATCTAAGCAAGTAATCATCAATGGATGCTAAAATCATTAGATGAGAGACTGATGCGGAACTTTGCAATAAAGGGGTCAGGCTAATGCCATCTG